CCCCCCCGCAGGGAGACATGGAGGAGTCCGGCTCGCAGAAGTTGGTCTGGGACGGAGACGCCAAGGCGGTGCAGCAGTGCCTCACCGACATCTTCACGAGCGTCTACACCACGTGCGACATCCCGGAGAACGCCATCTTCGGCCCGTGCGTGCTGAGCCACACGTCGCTGTACGACAGCATCGCCTTCATCGCGCTGAAATCCACCGACAAGCGCACCGCGCCCTACATCTTCAGGGTCAGCGCGTTTTTTTTATAAATACTTTAATGTTGTAATCAGGGGAGCTGCTTTTATAAAAACAAGTCATTTAATGCAAAATATAAAGTAAAAAAATGTGTTTCGGATTAAAGCGAATGAGGAGTTTACGCAAATATTTCATGTTTTCTTCTGAAATGCGGGTCTGCGCTGAGTGTAAACAAAACAATCCGGAAAAAAACAGGTCGTAACTCAAAGTGTGCACCTGCGCAGGTGGACACGTCTGCCGCTAACAGCACCTCAGAGGGCCTGATGTGGCTCCGGCTGGTCCAGTCGGCCCGGGACAAGGAGGAGCAGAACCTGGAGGCCTACGTGAAGAACGGGCAGCTCCTGTACCGCTCGCTGCGCCGCATCGAGAAGGACGAGGAGCTGCTGGTCTGGTACGGCAAGGACCTGATCGACCTGCTGCTGCTCAGCTCCGGCCGGGCGCCGCCCAAGACCAAAGGTGAGACCTGGGTCTCGGATCCACGTGGGGACGCGAGCCGGACTCTGTGGGTCTTAACGTTTGTCGCTCGGTTCTTGCAGGGGCGTCCCATCACTCGTGTCCGGACTGCAGCCAGAGGTTCCAGTTCGAGTTCCCGTTCCTGGCCCACCTGCGGTTCCGCTGCACCAAGAGGCTGCAGAGTCTGACGGAGGCGGACAAAGAGCCCGGCAAAGAGGCCGGCCCGGACCGGTCCGCCCCGGCCCCGGCGAGGACCAGCCCCAAGCTGGGCCGCTCCGAGGGCTTCACCACGTCCCACGACGCCACCAAACCCTCCACGGACTTCCACAACCTGGCCCGGGACCTGGAGAACAGCCGGACCAGTCCGCCCAGCGACAAGGAGGCCGAGATCTGCAGCGAGAGCTCGGCCAAGAGGAAGTTCTGCGACGTGGAGGACAGGGACCGCCGAGGCCCCCCGGCCAAGTCCAAGGACGAGCTGGCCTCGTCGGCGCAGAACTACCGAGGCGCGTACGGCCTGGAGGAGAACCAGCGCTCCTTCTCGCCGCCGGGCGCCGCCGAGCACGGCGAGGCCAAGCGCAGCGCCTTCACCGAGGTCAAGAAGGCGCCGCCGGGCCTCAAGCACCACGGCAAGAACCTGCCCAGCGCCAACGCCGAGAACAAGGACCGGCCCGGCAGCAGCCCCCCGGAGAAGCACCTGAACATCCGGCAGGTGCTGTCCGAGACGCAGCCGCCGCAGACCTCGCCCATGGGCAGCGCCTTCACCTCCGTGGGCCAGCAGGGCGGCGGCGGCGAGCGCAAGAGCGCCTTCAGCCAGCCGTCGCGCAGCTTCTCGCAGATCTCGCCGCTGGTGATGCCCCCCAAGCTGCTGGACTGCCACCCGGCGGTGGGCGACACCATCTCCTCCAGCAGACTGTACCAGGCCGACCACCTGGCCGCCAAGCTGCAGGGGGCGGAGCTGGGCGCCAACTGCCCCGTGCCCGGCGCCATGGCCAAGCAGAACCCTTTCGTCTACGCCACCACCTTCTGGCCCAAGAACTCGGGCCCCATCCAGCTGCAGATGCCCTCGGCCCTGACCCTGCTGCCCCCCTCCTTCACCTCGCTCTGCCTGCCCGCCCAGAACTGGTGCGCCAAGTGCAACGCCTCGTTCCGCATGACCTCGGACCTGGTCTACCACATGAGGTCCCACCACAAGAAGGAGTACGCCATGGAGCCGCTGGTGAAGCGGCGGCGCGAGGAGAAGCTCAAGTGCCCCATATGCAACGAGTCGTTCCGGGAGCGGCACCACCTGTCGCGTCACATGACCTCACACAACTGACTGTGAACCACAGACACACAAACTGTTAGCTTCACACATCTGGATTTAAAGGTGCTCATCAGGAAGTCCTCCGTCACAACACTTCCTGTTGACACTTCCACCATGTGGCGCTTTCCCTTTATTATTATTTTTAGGAAATTCCCTTTTTCCACCGTTTCTTCAGACTTTAACCAGCCTGACGCCCAGTGCCGTCACTAAGCCTCTTTTAGGGGGGCTGGAGCCCCCCTAAAATAGGTATAAATTTTTTTTATTAATTAATTAATTTTAAACAAAAATTCAATATGATGTGATCAGAATACATAACCACTTAATATTTCATTGTTGACTAAAATATATGATCATAAATCTGTCAGTTCCCCTTTAATTTATACTGTAAAATAGTTTTAATGTTCA